TAACCCCCCTATAGGTGGAGAAAGGGCCTATGGGGAGATATGATATTGTGCTAGAATAAGCATCTTCTGTAGATTGTTTCCGAAGCCTTTTTGTGTGTGTTGCTTGGAATGCTTTTGGGGACTGGAGAGGTGGGTTGGGAGCCCAGGAGAGGCAGCATCCCTCATAGGTCATGTCAGATGAGGCATAGTCAAACGTGTGGGGTCTGGGTAGCATGCTGCCGGTATTCCACAAGTGTGAAAGCGAGAAAACCACCCAAATATGAAACAAAGATTCTCTCCCAGCCCCATGATGAATATGTGAAAATCATCTTATTTAACACAAATACTATCTTGTTCCCCACTTACCTCCAGTCTCCTGCCGGCAGACATCTGCACACAGGCAACCACAACCACATACACATACAAGCACACAGGCAACCACAACCACATACACATACAAGCACACACACAAATGCACACACGCTGTTGCACTCAGCTGCTGCAGAAGCCATCACGGTGGCTTGCTTACGCAACAATGTGTTCCTCATTCCCTGCCTCAGACTTTTTGCTTTGAACTGAAGTTTAAAAAACCTTTTTTGTTTGTTTTGCTTCTTTTTTTTTTTTTAAAAAAAAGGATATTTCTTTATTCTACTAGCTTTTCAACTATGAATTGAAATGCCCCTCCTGGATTTTGATGCGGAGGAGCAAGTCTGTAGCCTTCTGTGAGCCTCTTGGCTGCTACCAGGTGAAACTCAAACACAAAGTGATGGCAGTCATATTTTCTTGTTTTCCTTTAGTTCCCCATAATCCTGCATGTCACCGACCCCTCACACATGGAAAGACATTCGTCTCTGGGCTGGGTGAAGGTGTAGAATGGTGAGCGCTTCATCTGGCCCGCCTGACTGCCTTCCATCCCTGTGTTCTCCTCTCCCTCCCTCCCTGGCAGTCCATCCATCACCCTCCAACCTCCCTGCAACCCCACCCCTCTGCCCCTGCCTCTTGCTCCATGGGGCCTGGGGGCTTTGAGGAGAGAGGACTTTCATGAACTTCTGAGGCATGCAGAGCACGTTTGGGTTCTGCCAGAGCTTCCGCTGAAGGCTGAAAGCTTGGAACTTCTCCAAGGCAATGGACAAGGGCTGGGCTAAGGTCAGGGAAACATCGTTTCTCATTTTCCTTGGCAGGGCTGTCCGTCAGCACTGTGCCCTGTGCCTCCTGTCTGCGTTTCATCTCTCAGCTGCCTTTGTTGGTGGTCTCAAGCTGCAGAGGTCTCCAAACCTTTCACAGGGGCCAGGGGGCACTGAGATCTGCTGCCCACTGCTACTCTGGGTTGCCAGGGCATTTGGGCTGATCATGCGATTGGGCAGCTGCTGTTCAGAAAGCCAGGAGAAGCCATGTAAGGTGGGAATACATGTGTTCCTCTGCCCTGGAAACTTAAGGAACCCCAAAGGTTGTCTGGCTTCTTCATTTAGCAGGATGACATGCCCTGAAGTGAAAGATGAGAGTGTGCAGGATCCCATCATCCAAAACCCTGCTGCGAGGGCAGCGCTAGCAAAGACCCCCCCACAGACATGTCCATGTGCCAGCTGGTGCTGGGGCGAATGGCAAGTCCCCAAAGCTAAGGGCATGGGGGAACTTCCATTACACAGAGAAGCAGAAGCTGTGGGCGCATCCGTGACAGCTGCTGGCTGTTTTCCAGTACTGCGGGGCTCCCTGCTGCAGTGGGTGAGACAGTAATGCAGAATTTAGAGTTGATTGGTATGGACAGAAAACAGCCTTTACATCACCAATATACTTAAAGCTCTTGTTAAGCCACACATTGGTAACTAGGTGACATTGATAGAGTCCAAATGTAGTAGAGAATTGAGGAAACTACATTATTTAACTCACAGGAAACACTTTTGCTCAACCAGAAGGACATTTCTTTCTAGTAAAATAATTGGAAACCTTGAATTATATGGTGCTGTGGACTCAACTGTGTCCTCCCGGAATTATATGTTGAAGGCTTAACCTTCAGTGGGACTGTATTTGTTTTTTGTTTTTTTGAGACGGTCTCACTTGATCACCCAGGTTGGAGTGCAGTGGCATGATCATGGGTCAGTGTAGCCTTGACCACCTGGGCTCAAGTGATCCTACTGCTTCAGCCTCCCAAGTAGCTGGGACCACAGGTGTGCAGCACCACACCTGGCTAATAGTTGCATTTTTTTTTTAGAGATGGGGTCTCACTATGTTGTCCAGGTTGGTCTCAAACTCTTGGGCTCAAGTGATCCTCCAGCCTCGACCTCCCAAAGTGCTGGGATTACAGGTGTAAAGCCACCAGATTCACTGTGTATTGGAAATAAGGAATTAAGGTTAAATGAGGTCATTTAGGTTGGAGCCCTGATCCAGTAGGATTTGTGTCTTTATAAGAAGAGGTATCAGAGAGCTCATGCACACTCTGTGCCAAATGAGGACCTAGGGAAGGAGGCTATCTGCAAGCCAGGAAGAGAGCACTCACCAGAAACTGAGTAACTGGCACCTTGGTCTTGGGCTTCCCAGACTCCGGAACAATGAGAAAGAAATTTCGGTTAAGTTACTCAGTCTACGGCATTTTGTTACGGCAGCCTGAGCTGACTAAGATACATGACTGTTTAACTCAGTTCAGTTGGCATTTGGAGACGTGGCATGTATTTCCAGAAGAAAACAGTTTCCAGAGGCATTTCCCTGGAAAGATATGGCTTTAGCTTGTCGCTTACTCTATGCACTTGATTTCCACTGTATCATGTGCTAGAAATAAGGAAGCATGCAAGGTGTTCGTATTTTATCAAAAATTAAATTGTGCTTCACATGTGTTCTTTTGCAGTGTGTGGGAACTGGGAAAGTGGGATTTGTAAAGCCTTGTTGCTGGCCTCTGGTATAGGATGGTAGACAATGTAAGTGTCATCTTGAGCAGATAAAACATTTTATCTAAACAGAGCCTTATGGTCATTGGGCTTTCAATTGCAGTCACACACTAGAGGGAGAGAGTCAGAATTCTTGCCTGATTCCCCGCATTCCACAGGGATGAGAGCAGCAATCACAAATTTTCTCTCCATCCCTCTGGCAGCCCTTAAGACATCCCTAGACCACCACGCAGGTCCTCAAGCTGCCTGCCTTTTGTGTGCATGTGTTTCACAATTCCACATCTGCTGCTAGAACCAGAACTATGTTTTTGTGGCTAGCTCGAATGTAAACGCTTCTGGGAGCATGGTGGCAGGACAGTTTTCTCTGTGGTGATGTGTCAGGAACACTGTCAACCTTCAATAGATGTGTTGCATTGGCTTGAACACAAATATACACCTTGGGCGCTTACATTTGCACAAAACATTTATTTTCCAAGGATGTTCTCATTTACAGCACCTTTGACTTGCATGACTGGGGCCTATTCTTTCAAGAATGAAAGAATTCATATAATGGAACTGACGGATTTTATTGTGAAAACCACTAACCATAGGAATTAATGGAAGATGGGAAAATTCCCTTTACACAGGAAGACAGCTGTGGTGCTCATCTCTCAAAAGGACAAAGGATGAGTTTAATAATTACAGAGCAGTTCACTTTACCTGATGTACCTGGAAGTGACTAGAATGCATCACCCCCAAATCAATTTGTAATCCCCCAGAAGAGCAAAAGAAGGTGCAGAGCAATCGGAGCTGGCTTTGTGTGAAGTAGCACATGTCGGAGCAGATGAACTTTTTCCTGTGAGGGAGAGCGTGACTGAGTAACGCACAGCATGTATAAAGGATGTTTGGGCTTCCGGAGCCTTCTACATGATGTTTTCATCATCAGGCTGGGAAGCTTTGGGCTGAGCCATACTACTGTTAGGTACAGAGTGAGTTTTTAATAATTCTGCACCAGTCTGGGCATGGTGGCTCATGCCTGTAATCCTAGCACTTTGGGAGGCCTAGGCAGGTGGATCAACTGATGCAGGAGTTCGAGACCACCCTGGCCAATATGCCAAATGTCATCTCTACTAAAAATACAAAAATTAGCTGGGCATGGTGGCATGCACCCATAGTTCCAGCTACTCAGGAGACTGAGGCAGGAGAATTTCTTGAACCCAGGAGGTGGAGGTTGCAGTGAGCTGAGATCGTGCCACTGCATTTCAGCCTGGACAACAGAACAAAACTCAGACTGAAAACAGCAACAACAACAACAGACACAATAATTCTGCCTCAGTCTGGAGAAAAACACATTTGAACATTTGATTCAGACCTCACAGAGGCCTGCCTTACCCAGGTTAATTTTGCACTGCATCACAATCATTCCTGGAAGACAAGTCGAATCTAGTGACAACTGTCCTCAAGACACACTCACAGAGTTTCCTCACTGCTGTGCTGGGTTACTCTTGGAATCAGCAAATCAGTGGTCCTGGCAGCCAGGGATTGTACCCCCATCTCTAAAAATAGTGGAAAGGGGCAGTTAACCAGATTTTTCTCTTTGCAGGCAAAGTGGTGATGCTTGGATTTTGCATTTCTGGAAATAGACATATTCTGTCTGATGGCAGCCCTGCTTTACCAATCCCATTTACAACTTGTGGGAAAATCCTAAATTTTGTCTTCAGATCTTTGTGGCATTGCTTGGAAATTTGCAAGTTAGTAGCACCATCCAGGGAACTTTAGAAAGCCTTCAAACCCTGTGAAGTGTGCAGAATATGAATTCTATGAATTCTAGGAGAACAGCTCACATTTAGAGAACTGAGCCAGGGTGACACACACACTGTTTTTATTGCTACAAAAAGCACACTGGAAGATGAAGGAAATCCTAGTTCTGTGCGTGTGTGTGTGTATATATATATATATGGAAAGTAAAATTAAAAGTGGATTCTTCCCTCTGGCCCCCAGGAGCATTTCTTTAAAACCAAGCACATTGCTAAATAGCAACATTATACAGGTATTGATTGACTTACAACCTATGCAACTTACGACCATTCGACTTTACGACCACAATCGCTAGCCACGACTGCTCCGTGTCCGGCAGCGCAAACGTTGCCCAGCTGGGCGTACGACAGTGTATACCAGCTTCCGGCAGCACTACCATCTCCGCGTGCACCATTTTAACTGTTATCCCAGACTCGGTACAGCAATTTGTGTTTTGTGTCTTGGATATTTTTCATCGACTCCCTCCCAATAAACTTCTTATACATTTCAAAGCAACGGACCCAAACATCGAACGATTTGCAAGGATTGAACGGATGGCGCACGATGTGTTTCATCTGTACAGGTATCGTGAAATTTATGAAGAAAAAAAGAAACATACAATTCAGACAAAGCTCACCATGTTTATGAAAAAACCAACTCCGGTAACCCCAACTGCTGCCTCAGATGACAACATCAACGATCCGCAGCCAAGCACCAGCAGCCAATAAAATGTTTCGTACATGTTTATATATTTTGATATGTTTTGCAAGTGGGAAAATGTTTCCTATGGTATTTTTTACACCTGTATTTTGTATTTTTGTATGCACCTGTATTTTGTAATTTTATATGTTTTGCAAATATTAAACCAGTTGTACTGGTAATGCAGTGTTTTACTTAAACCTGACAAATGTACAGTAAAAATAAGAAACAAAATGGTGTAGAGATGATACAAATGGCATAAAATGAACAAAGAAAATTATATATAATGAAAGAAAATTATGATAAAATATGACTTAAAGATTTTTATAACATTTCACAGTACTGTACATATAGCCTACCCGACTTACGACTAAATCCTGTTACGACCGGTCTGTTGGAGCCAATCGTGGTCGTAAGTTGAGCATTAGCTGGTACTTGGTAAACAATAACTGGCAACGAAATAAGTTTAATATTCTGCTCAAACCAGTCCCCGGTACTGTGTAATAACCAGGACACAAACTAATTTTGTTGTAACAAGCCTAGACCAATATTATCAAACATGTCCTTGTGTATATGTGTATGTATACACACACACACACACACGTATGTATATACACACATATTTATATATACATACACACAAATATATAATATATAATCATCACTATATAGTTATATGATTATATATTATGTATATACACATACAGAATTATATATAGTCATATAACAATATGTATATATGTGTGTATATAATGTATATTATAATTGTATGTATAACATGCAGTATATATAAAATCACGTAACAGATTGCATATATAATAAATCCTATATATATAATTATTTTTTAAGGAATAGTTCCAAATGGGTTATGAAGAAAATGTATTCATTGAATTTAATATGTTCTAAAAACTCTTAATGAAAATGTGTTCACCCAATAAACAATAAAACATCAGCAGAACTGTCATATACTGAGCAAAAAATCTGACTGCTACCGCAAGCAACATGCAACATAAAAAAGATACAATATAAAGGAAGACAATCTGTTGAGTTGTAAAAACCATCTGAGGGAGGCTGAGGTGGGTGGATCACAAGGTCAGGAGTTCGAGACCAGCCTGGCCAATATGGTGAAACCCCATCTCTACTAAATATACAAAAATTGGCTGGGTGTGATGGCACGTGCCTATAGTCTCAGCTGCATGGAGGGGGGTGAGGCAGGAGAATCACTTGAACTGGGGAGGTGGAGGTTGCAGTGAGCCGAGATTGTGCCACTGCACTCCAGCCTGGGTGACAGAGTGAGACTCTGTCTTAAAAACAAAACAGAAAAAACATCCGAATATGGCTGGGCGAGGTGGCTCATGCATGTAATCCCAGCACTTTGGGAGGCAGAGGTGGGTGGATCACCTGCGGTTAAGAGTTTAAGGCCAGCTTGATCAATATGGTGAAACCCTGTCTCTACTGGAAATACAAAAATTAGTTGGGCTTGGTGGTGTGCGCCCATAGTCTCAGCTACTCGGGAGGCTGAAGCAGAATTGCTTCAATCCGGGAGGCAGAGGTTGCAGTGAGCTGAGATTGTGCCACTGTATTCCAGCCTGCGTGACAGAGCGAGACTCTGTCTTAAACCAAAACAAAAATCAAAACAAAAGAAGACAAAAAACCCTTCTGAATATGAACTCTTTGCAAACAGTACAGAAGTAATTAGCTATCAAATCTAAACCACACCAAGGTTAAGTTTGTCTGATGTAGGCAAGGAGTCAGTCTTGCGGGGAAAATAAGTTCCTCAGTGCAAGAGAGCTGCATAGTGTTTTGGAGCATTTCCCTGACTGCCACAGCAGTATTAGAAAATCTCTTGCAAGGGAAGGAAATAAATACAAATGGAATGCTACATTAAAAATGAGCAAACGTTTCAGGAATAAGTGTATCAGTAAAGTAGCAAGGGGATAACTTTAAAACATTATTTGTTTTGGGCTCGACAAACATGCAAAATGGATTTATTTAGAGGTTTTGCTATAGCTATGTCCAGGCATTTAGGCTTATGGGAAGTAAAATTAAAAGTGGATTCTTCTCTCCCGCCCCCAGGAGCATTTCTTTAAAACCAAACACATTGCTAAATAGCAACATTATACTTGGTAAACAATAATTGGCAACAAAATAAGTTTAATATTCTGCTCAAACCAGTCCCGGTACTGCTTAATAACCAGGGCACAAACTAATTTTGTTGTAACAAACCTAGACCGATATTATCAAACATGTCCTTGGTTAGGTATCTAGCTTCCTTTAACATTTTGAAAGCTCCTTTGACAGTGGGTCAAGTCCCTTATACAGACCAGTTCCTTGTGTCACGCATGTGGCTTGAACAGACCCATGTCCTGTTAGGAAGAGATCGAAGAGATTTGGCAAATCCTGCAATTTTCAAAAAGCATCACTGCCTCTCTCAACTCGTCTCCAGAAGCAGTTCTGCAGCTCACCTGCTACCTCCTTAATTCTTTCACGATGATTGCTGTCTACCACAAAAAGAAGACGTTGGTATTTGGGAAGTAATACTACCAGAGAGGGCTAATTCTGTCTTGACCACCAGCATCCCATACTGTGAACCAAATGTTTGTATAGTCTACTGCTTCCACGTTTCGGCCAATGGTAGGAATGGTGGTAACTGCCTCCCCTAACATGCGGGGTGGTCATCTTGCCAGCAACATCTAATCCAGCCATCAAAATGTGCATCTGCTTCTTGCCAAAGAGGTAGGAGAAGAAAGAGGAGATGGTGAGGCCCCTGGCGGCAGTGGCAGAAGGGGCTTGGGGCATCTCTGTGGTTTCTCCTTTCATACTCCCAGGCAAACTAAATGAGAGGGAAGAGAAAGAGCTCATTCTTTAAACTTTAGTCCTCTCAGTTTTCATCCTCTTGAAATAAACAACATGAATGACCAGGTTTTCGCCTTCCATAGTTCTCTTCATGCTTGAACAATAATATACACATGTGTAGAGTTCTCAAGTTTTGTCCCCTCTGAAATCACATCTGCATACTTATCTCTAACTCATATTAAGCTTATATTAACGTTTTCCATCTTCTTCTAAGGTCTAAAGTAAATTTCTCATGTTCAAAGTTTGGGAGGTGTAACAAAACCATATGAGCCAAGTGTCTTTTAAAATACTAGCTCTTGCACTGGATGCAGTGGCTCACACCTGTAATCCCAGCACTTTGGGAGGCCGAGGAAGGCGGATCACTAGAGGTCAGGAGTTCGAGACCAGCCTGGCCAATATGATGAAACAAATAAACAAAAAAACAAAACAGCCAGGTGTGGTGGCAGGTGCTTATAATCCCAGCTACTCTGGAGGCTGAGGTAGGAGAATTGCTTGAACCTGGGGGGCAGAGGTTGCACTGAGCTGAGATTGCCCCACTGTACTCCAACCTGGGTGACAGAGTGAGACTCTGTACCGCCCCCCCGAAAAAAAATCTCTTTAAAAGTTTAGCCTCACCTCTCATTATTGTTTTTTTCATGTGTTCATCTTTGATTGATTTTTGTAATCCTAACTTGCTTTTAGTTATTCCAGTTTACTCATATAAAGTGCCCCTAACATTTTCTGATATTTTAGTCTATTTCATACCTATAGTAAAATCGGTTTCATTCCTAGGAATTATATATCAGTTTCTTTCTTTTTTGATAAGCATACTTTTTAGGAATTTACTATTGTAGAAGTCTTTCAAATAATAAGTTTTGTTGTTTTTTTAAATCATTCTTTTCATGGTTTTTATCTTTTTTATTTAACTGGTTTCAGCTTTTACCTTTTCAAATCAATCTGCCTACTTCATTTTGCATCACTTTTATTCTAATTTCCAAATCTCAAAATCTTGGGGGCAAGCTAATGCAGTGGTTATGTTCATAGACTCCGAACATGATCTGCTTTGGTTCAGAGCCTCGTTTTGTCATTTACAAGCTGTGTGACTTTGGGCAAGTTACGTACACTCTCTGTGCCTGTTTCCTCACCTGTAAAATGGGTTGCGAAGATTAAATGAGTAAATATACATAAGCTGTTAGAGCAGTGCCTGGCACATAGTATCTACTTGATAAATATTTTTGGAAAGAAAGCAAATGAACTCCTTTAAATAGTGAGCTCTAAGGATAAAACAATTTTGAATATATTCTTAGCTGTGGTTTTGGTATGAAACCTTCCTTTCAGTAGCTTGTAGATGTTTATTTCAGTTTTTGATATATTTCTTCCAATATTTTATTATAAAAAGTTTTCAAACCTATAGAAAAGCTGAAAGAATCATACAGGGAACTCAACCACTAAGTTCTACGAGGAGCATTTTGCTGTACTTAATGAATCACCTGTGCGTGCAACTGTCCAGCTCCCTCCGCCCGCTCTCCAGCTTGGTTTTTGGATGTATTGCCAGGCACATTGCGAAGAAGTTTTGACGTGCTTTAAATAAGGGGGTCAACCAGGGAAGCATTTCTTAATTCTAGTAATTTAAGTTTTGAAATTACCTTTTTCATTGCTTATTTCCCTTTATTAGAGTATGAACCAAGAACATGGTTTCTAAAATTTCTGCCTTGGAGAAGTTTTTTTTTGATGGCCAAGCACATGACCAATTTTTGTAACATGGTTACAAAAGAAGTATTTTCTGCTTGTAGGAAACACAGCTCTCCATGCTTATTAAATTGTTCTTGTCGATTATATAATTCAAATTCTCTGTATCATTATTGAGTTTTCTCTGCTTGGTTTGTCAAAGTTTGAAAGATGCATTTTGAAATTTCCTTTTATAATGTTAAAGTTTTTCTTGCAATTCTGTAAGTATGTATCTTCTCTTTGAAGTATTCTCCACTATTCTATTATAAATGCCCTGACACACCGCCGTGATCCATCTGGTGTAGCTGTAGATCGAAAGATTTATTGCTCATCCCCATTTCCTTTCCCCTGATGTTTTCCTGTCTTCAGGTGTCTGATCTGAGTCAAATGGCATTTGGTTCACTGTTTTCTATTTTCCCTGGCTAGCAACACTGATATGAAGATATCCTGAATCCTTGCCTGTAGGCAGAAAGTAAGGGATATCATGGCCTGAAAGCAGAGATAAACCTCTAAACCTCTGATCTTTTCCGTTAGGATTTTCATCTTACGGTATTTTTGCTTTTGGTTATGAGCTCTTGGTCTTTTAGGTTATTAACTTGGTTCTCAGCCATGATCATCTTCTTTTTCAACTCACAACCAATTTTAAAATAAAGATACCAAGTATCTTAGCGTGAGCTGCCATAACAAAATACAAGAGACCGAATGGCTTAAACAACAACAATTTGTTTTCTCACAGTTCTGAAGGCTGGAAGTCCAAGATCAAGGTGCCAGCATAGCCATTTCTGGTGAGGTCTCTCTTTTCTGCAAAGGCAGACAGAGACAGATGGGGGAGGAGGAAGAGAAAGACAGCAAGGTCTCTGATGTCTCTTCTTATAAGGGCGTTAATTCCATTATGAGGACTTCATCTAAATCTAATGATCTCCCAAGAACCCATTTCCAAACACCATCATATTGGGGATTCGTGCTTCAACATACGAGTTTTTAGAGGACACAGTTCAGTCCATAGCATCAAGTTTTTAAAATTTTTGTTCCTCCTAAACTTCCGGAACATATTTTGGGTACTCTACTTAAATGTCCTTGGGAGTTCTCATTAGTTCTTTATTAAAAGTTATCGTCTGGCCGGGCGCGGTGGCTCAAGCCTGTAATCCCAGCACTTTGGGAGGCTGAGGCGGGTGGATCACGAGGTCAAGAGATCGAGACCATCCTGGTCAACATGGTGAAACCCCGTCTCTACTAAAAATACAAAAAATTAGCTGGGCATGGTGGTGTGTGCCTGTAATCCCCGCTACTCAGGAGGCTGAGGCAGGAGAATTGCCTGAACCCAGGAGGCGGACGTTGCGGTGAGCCGAGATCGCGCCATTGCACTCCAGCCTGAAAAAAAAAAAAACCCTGAGTGAAACTCCAAAAAAAAAAAAAAAAGTTATCATCTGGGTCTTTGCTGATTTGTCCTTCAAAGGGAGCCTCCTTATTCAGCTGTTCCATATTCTGTTCTTCCTCTTCGTGTCTTTCTCTCTCTTTCTCAGGGCACTGAGTTTTTCTCAAACAGTTACAAGTGTATATTTTTTAACCTGCTCACTTGGTTGTGGCTTTAGTCCCCACACCGGCCAGGATGCTGAGGCCTCCTGAGCAGTAGCAAGCTGGTGAGAAAACTGCGATGCTATTCATTGCCCTTGAGAGCGGTGGGAATGATGGTCCTCTCCTGCCACAGACCTGCACAATTTTTTTTTTTTTGAGACAGAGTTTCACTCTTGTTACCCAGGCTGGAGTGCAATGGTGCGATCTCAGCTCACTGCAACCTCCGCCTCCTGGGTTCAAGTGATTCTCCTGCTTCAGCCTCCTGAGTAGCTGGGATTACAGGCACTCACCACCATGCCAGGATAATTTTGTTTTTTTTAGTAGAGATGGGGTTTCTCCATGTTGGTCAGGCTGGTCTCGAACTCTCGACCTTAGATGATCTGCCCGCCTGAGCCTCCCAAAGTGCTGGGATTATAGGCGTGAGTCACTGTGCCCAGCCTAGACCTGCACAATTTGACTTAGGCCTCCTGGGTTCGACAGGAATGGGCAGGCCCTTCCAGAGCCACTTGGGCCACAGGTGGGCAGAGGAAGAACTTCCTGAAAACAATCACAGGCTCTGACACCTGAGGTCCTCAGCAATCCAGGTATGCCCGGGGCCTCAGCTGTTGCATGCCCTTGTCTTTAGCCACAAGCTCCTTAGCTTTCCCCAGGTGCCAACCAGAAGAGTCTACATCTGCCTTCTTCTCCAGGGGTGCTGTGAGACCCGCGGCCTCAAATGCACCCTCCAGACCCTGCCAGCCTGACTGGTGCTGGGTTTTAAGTGACAGAGAGGGGATTTCAGACATGTGCTCCTACCGCCATCTTACCCCAATTTTCTCAAGCCCATGCTCTTAGCCTAATGGGCATTCTGTGGCTAATAGGCTAACTCAGTGTTGAATGTGTTGTGTGTTACTCTTCTGTCATGTTTGGCGATGGGATGCTCTACCTCCTATCAGTAGAGTTAGAAGAAGTATGGGATTGGGGTGAGGGAGGCATCCTGCAAGATGCATACAGAATCAAGGTCACTTGCATTCTTAAAACTCAGGGCATGTTGGGGATACGGAGGTTCTCTGAACTAGGAGTAGAAGGATATTGAAGAAAACACTTGAGAATACTTACAAGAATCAATCAAGATGCTTTTTAGAAAATACCGGGATGCCAGGAATATTTCTGGACCAAGGAAGAAAGGGGTGTGGCAGCCATGGGCAGTCCAGCGATTGGCTCAGCCAATGTGGATGTGGGAAGGGCAGTCGGAATAGCACCAATCCCCGGACACATGGGAGATGTGGGAAATGACTCCTTCCAGGGGAGGTGGCCCAGGCCTGGGACAGTAGGTGACCCTGGGAGGGATTAGCTTTCCTCCCTGGGTGGTGTGCAGACAGCACATGCTCAAAGGCAAATGGTGGAGGGGGCAGGTGGGGCT